GGAGGAGGAACTAAAGCCCGCAAGGCTTTCCTCCACTCATCTGTTTTGCTTTTCATGGGCTCATGTAAATGCGCAAAGCAAAGACGAGATTGTGATCGTCTCCTGACAACTTACTGAATGCGGCCTTGTCTCTCACCTCATCCTCAAATACAAATCTTCTCATAGGGATACTGCAGCAGTGCGCTGTACAAATTCGTGTAGGTCGCTTCACTCTCGACTGGCACAATGTTTTATTGGGTGGATAAACCTCCTTTCGCATTGCGATATTGTCCTCGGAGAAGACGATTCGAAAGTGACCGGACATACCTTGTCTGGAGGCGCAGTGGAGAATGTTTTTGAGCATGTGAATGGGCAAAGTATTCAGTGATTGTACACGTTGGATCAACTTTGTTGCATTGCAAGAACCACCACCGCCATCTGTTGGTGCATGAAATGGCGCTCCAAATACGTTGCCTTCCCTCAGCATAGGAGCGGGTCTACACATTCACCATTTGCCTCAAATACCAACACAGCTTTTGAAATGAGATTAGTGTCTCCAAAGAGTTGGACAATTTGTCACGATAAGAGATTTTGTGCTCAAAATTCTACTGAGGGTGAGACTCTTTTTGGTTACTACATCCTCCAATTTCAAGCAAGTTCGAGCAACTTTAGAACCTATTTGGAGGTGGTACGTGAAACAGACAAGCCCAACTAATGCGCATTGGGCACACTCGATGGACCTCATAAGACAAGAGGGTACTAAAGACAAGAATAGATAAAAGTGTACATGAATGACTGACTATTGCAGATCCTGACTTTGATAGTTCGGACACAACGCAATGCTACCTGTCTCTTCCAACAACTCATTGTAGCCAATTACTTCTCAAAAGGTTTCCCAGCAAAACAACGAAGGTGGCATCAGCATACCAACATTGCACAGGGTTAGGGGATCGTGAAGTAGTGTTGCGATCCTGAGCTTCACTATCACTCATACAAAAGGACAAACTTGGCGTGACATGTAACACATGGGAGGGACGCTGATTCCTCCGCTACGGTATTTATTCATCCTTCACTCTCCTCTCCCACCTCACACACGTTGCGGCCCTCCTACTAGGTAAAGGTGGCACTTCACGATCATACAAGTGGTGACTGAACCTGATACTTGGGCCGGGCGAACGAAAGGAGAGCGGGTGGAAGGTTATAAAGGGAGCAAGGGAATTGTCAATTGAATCGCGTTTTAATACATACAAGTGTGCAGTTCTATGGTACATGTCTCAGTCTCTGCTTGTCGTCATCAGCATCGTAGCAAGTGATTGGGGAGAAGCGTTGGCGTTGGGTACCGAGGTGATGTACACATACATACATACATAGAGGCGGAGGTAATGTTCCAATCGGATATGCTTGTAGGCGAGGGCGGAGGAGGAGGAGTGGGATATCACAAAGCCATTGGTTAGCAAGCAGTCTTCCCAAACGGTGCCACTGGTAGGCATGTCAGTTGGAAAGCGCACTAGGGGCATGCTAAAGGGGAGAGTATGGTGAAAATGCACTGAGGCAGACGAGAGGACGATATGAACGCGCATGGAGACTTGTGTAGTGCAGATGTACAAGTTAGCGCTGCTGTTACC